CTCTCTCTCTCTCTCTCTCTCTCTCTCTCTCTCTCTCTCTCTCTCTCTCTCTCTCTCTCTCTCTCTCTCTCTCTCTCTCTCTCTCTCTCTCTCTCTCTCTCTCTCTCTCTCTCGCTCTCCTTTGTTTTTCAGGTGGCGGACGTAATGAGAAGAAAGAAGATGCGGGATATTAGGATTAACCGCGGTAACAAATGGGCCATCCTGCTTTAAGCCCACTCCAGCAAAGACCCATCCCGCTAGGCCCGCTTTTTTGCGGGATCACAAACCCCCGGCCCAAGAGCACCCCACCACAAGCTTTAACGAGTATGTCCTGCAGTCCAGTACCTTCTTTGACATCTCTAAGAACAATCCATATTAACTTGAGGAAAAGTAAATATTACCATGATACAAGCATTGTTTGGAGATAGGAAGGTCGAGATTATTTATCTTACTCTTCTTCTTCTTGAGAGAGACGAGATATTCTTGGATCTTGACGTATTTACCCGAAAGTGTTTGAGTTTTTTCAGTGTCTTCCATGAACAACTTCAATGGATCACTCGTTGGTGGCATGAGAGAACTTGTATATATATTAGAATGCTTAAGAGGTTAGACTAAAAATATTGTACAAGTTGTATGATATTAACCACATCATTAATTATTTCAAACGCCTGGATGACTAGATCTGATCCACATCCATAATTTGACTGATTGATGAATAAAATCAGAACGTTTTAGCTGCGCCTAGTATTATTAATGGCCTGAATCACTTATTTCACTGGATTCGAACCAAGAGCATCATATTCGCATCAATAATCTGAACTTTTCTCGCAATCTAGTCGAATGGAAAATTAACTATAGTTTTCTGTTGTTAAGAGAAAAGATTAAGATTGGTGAAACCATTTGGGTCGAATCCAGGTCACTGCAAAATTAAAATTTTGGTATCGCCAGAGATAGGGGATCGACATATGAATCGAAAATGTAGATTGCTAACATGTAAATAGTCTAGATCCATTTCGGTGGAGATCCACGACCCTTGTATAATTCAAAAAAAAAAAATTTGAAGATCGTTTCTGCTAATATAAATCATTCATGGGCGTCCAAATGACTTTTATGTCCCTCTTTTCATTAAATTATGTTTATTAAATAAAGTATGTGTTTGTAATGACCATATATATTATCGATTCTTTTTGTATGTTCTTTTTTAATATATCAAGAAAATTGGTTATCCAAATATTTCTATGATATTGGTAAAACAGTATTTAGTAATATTGTAAACAATTTGGTAATTATCACATACTCCTCTCTGTAGATCCTAAAATCCACACTAAATATTTTGTAGTGATCGAGAGTTTAATCAGGGGAAGACAAATGATGTGGACAACGATGCTTTTAAACACAACGATACTATCGGTCAGTTGACCAAAAATTGACTTTTATTGAATATAGAATTCGTTACAAGTTGATGAACAAAAATCGAAAACAATAATGAAAAGGAGAAGCAATAAGCGAGCTAGAAATCAATGGAGTGAGGTCGATGTGATTAGTAATAAGCTCTAGGGTTTTTTCGTGTGTGTTGTACCTCATTCTAGCTCCTTTTTATAGCCTTCTCCTCTTCTAACTGCTTCCGCGATCGTCGGGATTCCATTTCGACCTCGTAGGGTCTGATCGATGTCGAGCTCGTGGTAATCCTATATGGGCTTGGGCCTACTTAATTAGGTGCTGAAATTGGGTCCGACATTTGTCCCACAATCTTTTTTCTTTTTGGTTGAAAGATAAATATTGCCCATTCGGACTCAACTGAAAAGAGTCAGTTCGGCTTCCGCGACGGCAAGGACCCGACACGTGTCTTCTTCCCGTCTATGGACCATTGGCGTGTGTCTCTAATGGCTATTTGTGCCGTATTCGAGGTGAAAACCTAATCACTGTCTCCTCGTTAATGATAGAGCCGTTTTGGTGTCGGTGAATTGCCCTATAAATACTGGAGGTTTTTTTTTCTCTCCTAACTCTTTCTTTCTCTTCCAAACTTCTTGCTTGTTCCATTTTTTTAAGCAAATATGGATGCATTGTTCACTTTTCCTCTTCCAACGACCACTGTTTCTCACCTTGAAGCATTGTACACGGAATATGGCGTTGATCGAAGAATCAAACTCGAACTAGCTTCCACGCTCGAGACCCCCGAAACCGTTCGTGTGGGATTTTGTGGAGTGTATCTCTCATTCTTTGATTCTTGCGGTCTTTTCTCCCCGATTACAGAACCAATCCTCGGAATCGTGGTTGATTTGAGCATATCTTTCCCTCAGATGTGTCTAAACTTCTTAAGGCATCTCGTGGCCCTTATGGTTAGAGCTTGCAAAGAGGGTTTGCGATTTGGTTTGGAGGAGCTGCGGCACCTATGCCTGCTGAAGAGGAAAAACAAAAGTCCAGGGACTTTTTCGTGTCGCTGCGCGCAGGACGTCATGTTATCCAAGGGGTTCGGTATCGAGACCAAGATTGGCGAGAAAGATTATTTCTTCGAGGTCGATCATCCGTCAATGGGTGACTTTGACTTCGCGAGGATTCCTCGTCTTTGGTCCTACGACATAGGTTAGTTATGACTTCTTTGGTTCTTTTATCATATATGCTTTTTATCTTTGGTACCTGACTTCTGGAATTGCTTTTTTGGATTTTTAGTGCATTCCGGGAACTCCCAATTGTCAAACGAGCTTCGAGGTCTGTTATAGACATTGAGACGAGATCGCCCAGACTGGTCCTCTTTCGATTGCGACCGAGTCCGCACCGCTTTTTTGCTACCAGATGGGATCAATCGAGCGTCGACTATTACCAGCAGTTCGGTCCAACTTAAGGATATCACGGGACCCTCTAGTGGTCCTTCTTCTTCCGCCAGATCGGATAGGCAGTTAGTCGGAAGGTCGTCATTCAGGAAATAGAGATCTTTTGCGGGGAGCAGAGGTCTCGAGGACTCGCCTCTGATCCCGATCTCTTTGAGTCTCGGTTCGGAGGAGGACTCTGGTGCCAACGATCGCAAGCACCGAAAATTGTCTCAAATTGCATCTCCGATGTCACGAGATATTTCTTCGCTTCAAGGTCGCGATACGTCGTCTCGGAGTCCTTCTGTTCTCCCTTCGGCTTCTCTTGAGGAAAGGGAGGCGTATGCTAAAATCGCGGATGCCAATTCTAAGATTAGCTATGTTCTTTCTTGTCGTATTCTTAGTAAATCAATCTCGTTCTGATGTTCTTGATACTTTTCAGATTATGGTCGTCGTCGACGAGTTCGTCGAAATGTTTGAGGGCCATGGTGAGAGAGATTTAGCGAGGTTGCAGGCTGAAGCGAAGAGTCTCGGAGAATCTCTTCGTAAGCTTAAGGAGGATCTCAAGAAGAAGACTGGAGAAGCTGCATTCCTGAAGGATGAGTGGAGGAAGGTTCGTGAAGAGAGGATGGTAATTGAGACCGAGGTTGCTAATCAAAAGACCATGGTCGCCGAGTTCCTTGCGAAAAGGGAACGAGACATCCGTCGCGAATCTCCAGTCATGCGTCATGATATCGCCGGTCATTACAAGGAGGTCCTGACTCTCATGGAGAAGAAGTGGTTGGACAAGAAGAAGGAAACCGACGCAGAGATCTAGTTGAGGGAGGTGATCGCGAACATCAATATGCTTAATGAGATCAAGGACAGTGGATTGATCATCGATTATGAACTAGCTCGTCTTAAAGAGATGGAGAATGATTGTGAAGGCCTCGTCAAGCTGGCTACCATTGTAGATTGGTCTATTTCGGATTTGGATCTCCCTGAAGTTTTTGGTGATTCGGTTGTTGCAGAATCTTCTTCAGAGGATGGAGCCGACTCTTAGACTTATCTTTTTCTTCTCCTTCTTTTTTTTTTATTATTCTAAATTGGATATTTCGCGTTGTATTTTTTCTTTGTTTTTTCAAATATTCTACTGACAATCACAGATTTATGGTATCTTTTTCCTTCTGATAATATTCGTTTTACCTCATCTTAATAAATATTGAATTCGTTTCTTTTATCTTGGTATTCTTGAAAGTCATTCTCTTTCTATCATTGATCATGACATGGAGGAAAACAAATTCCCGTGAGTCCGAAGAATTTGTAGTCGGAACAATGGAGCGGGACGAATTCATTCTGGTGATGTGAGTGAAGAACTTACCGAGGTCCTTTGCGAGGAGCCTCGACTCCCTTGTGTAACGGCTCGATCCGAAGTCAAGGATTCAGATGAACCAAAGACCACAACTCTTTTGCGTTTTGGTAGTCCGAATAGCTCGGAGGGACGCAATCGTCCTTCGAAGAAAGCGAAGATTTCGTGGAATGATGCTCGATCCGGCCCCGCAAACGAAGGAGCGGTCGCGAAGCCGTTCCACTAGCAGTTTTCCCATGCCAAGGATTGTCCGATCACGGACGACCCCGACAATGTCGCTCACTTGGTCAGGTATTCAAGCCGGTGGGGTGTCCCCTTCCTTCGCTGCGGAACATGACTGAGCGCGATGCTTATGTAAAAATGGCGGTCGCACATGCTAAGGTTGTTTGGTCTGACATTTTGATCTCTGATACTTACTTTATTGTTGTGCGTATTCCTGATGCATCTTTAGGCTATGGAAGCTAATAACGAGTTCGCGGCGACTTTGGAAAAGCGTTTGCGGGATATTCCCCGAGCTGATGACCTTTACGAGGCCAAGAAGGTTGTTTGGGAGTTGAAGTTTAGTTTGAAGACGACCCAGGATCGAGAGCAAACCAATGTCGCTCAATTGACAGCAGCTGAAAGGTTGGGGAACCAGATCGCTTCTCTTGAGGCTCATCTTTGGGTCGTTGGTAATGAAAAGAAATCGTCTCGTTAGCAGGTTGTCGCGCTGGAAACGCAGATTGAATCTCTGACCATGAGTCATGCGGATGAACTTCGTCGTGTGACTTATGACGTTAAAAATACTTTGGCCGACGGCTATCTGGACGTTTTGATGTCGTTGAAGGAGAAGTGGGAGAAAAAGAAGGCTGCAACGGATTGTGAGATTCGATTGAAGGAGGTCATGGCTAACATCAACCTTATTAAGGAAATAATGAACAACAATCTGCTTGCTTCTGACGAGTTATCACGCCTTCGAGTCAAGGAGGTCAAATTAGGAGCCGAACTTGATGTGGCTGCGGTGTCGGTTTTTTGGTTGGGAAGCTGGACCTTCCTCTGGTTTCGGAGGATTTATCTAAGGATTTCTTCTCTAATGTTCTCCTGGTGGAGATGAGTCTGGAGGCGAGCAGGGGCGTAATAGGGAACGCTATGAAGACGGCGATTTTGACGCCGATGATTAATTTAATCTTTTTGTATTATTATATTTTGTTTCATTCTCTTTCTAGTGACTTTAATAAAAGATGAATAATAGTGGTTTGTTTGATTTCATTTTATTGTGAGTGCGTGACCTTTTTATTATTTTCGTGGTCGTAGATCGACTTCGATAAATATCACGTCGATATGTTGTGTTTGAGTAATGAATTTACTATTATGATGCGCCATGTTTTTAGCGGATTCTAATTGTTTCCATAGACTTGATCAGGGTCTCCTCATGC